GTATTTCTGATCAATTTCAACCAACAAAACTTGGGCGAAGGTAGCGAAACCCAAATTCTGAGTTTTTTTTTATTTATTTTAAGGTCGGAGGAAGTGGAATTGTAATGAACAATTGGTGTTAATTAATAATCTCTGTGATCGTCATCTTCTCATTTTCCTATCAAAGCAAGACGTTGCATATACGTTGCATGAATATTTTATGTAGTATATGATCATGGAAGACTTGTAGGTCTGTGGCTGGCCTTTCTCGTGTGACTGGAACGCGATAACATATGTGAACGATACATGGACGGAAGAAGAGCAGAACGAGTTTGACAAGCTGACACGAGAAGAGGCGCAACGGCAGTGGAACAATACTAAGGCCTTTATCATGGATCCAAATTCAACAGATCATGAGCCGAGTGAATACATGAAGTAAGCGTATCCAAATTTATGTTTGCCGTTTTCCTCTCTTGCAAAATCATGATGTTAAAAAGGGAATTATTTTGTGTACATTCTGTTTCTCTACAAATTCGAGTAGTTAATTTTTTCTTCTTTCAAATGAAGATGCTCGAATTGAAGATGCTCGAACTCAATGTATTGAGTTGTACAAATTCGTTTTTTTTTTCACTCAAAAATTCTCCAAAGCCGAGGGTTTTGGCAACACTTTATGTATCATCTGAAGGAAGATGTCTCCTTCTACAAAAAGGTTTACTAGGATTCAGTCTTGATTGTGTAGATTTTAAATGATTGAAACTGAAAGTTTAGAGGACTGACATCAATCGAAGACTAATTTTTTGGATTGCAGAAAGCTTGAAATTCGCTGTAAAGCCACCCTGCGGAGTAATCGCGATGCTCATTGCGAAAATCGTATCCACTTCCTATGATAGGGTTTTACTGTAGAATAACGATAGATATATGCTACGCGGTCAAAACGAATTTGTCTGAAAAGTGACCTAGCGGGGCTATTATTTGATATTCTACAATAAGCACTCATTTAAACACATGATACAAGGTAAAGCCAAAATCTCTGCTCTACTGAAGAAGAAAAG